AACAATTTTCAATTGTAAAAAAAAAAAAATATCTTTCCTACACTTTTTAATTTAGTGTGTTTTAAGCGGTGGCAAGCATTTTTCTAAAAATGCAATGTGTTTTTTTTCTGCTTTTTAATATACATGTATGATAATTTATTGTTTTCTTTAAAGTCTTTACACCCTGGTCTGGATCTGGGAAAATTAATATTTTAAAGATTTTAAATTTTTTTAAAAAATTTTTCATGACAAAAAAAAATTAAATTTTTTTCTGATTTTTAGCCCAATTTTAAGGTTTTATAAAATTTTAATCCTTTTGTCTTCGGGTTCGTCAATTTTTTTAAACTAAATTTAAAGGGTTTTAACATAAAAGTTTTTTTTTAAAAAAAAAATTCATATAAAACACTTAGACAGAAGGGAAAACTTTTTCAAAATAAAATAACTAAAACCCTATACGGATTTTTTATTTTTTTTCTTAAAATAAATTTTCCAAAATTTATTTTGATTTAAATCAACTAAAGTTTTTTTTTCTTTTCTAATGAAAAACTGTAGAAACTACAGCAAGAGGAATTTTTAGGTAAATTTTCCAGGAACTTGTTGGTATCAATTTTATTTAAAGGAAAATGAAATTTTTTTTAAATAAAAATATTTTAGTGTTTTGTAAAATAAAATTTGTTAAAGGGAAATTGAATTTTGGTACTTAATTTTCTGTGTTTAGATTTTTCCTTCTTTTGGGTTCTTCTGTGTTACTTTACTTTTACATGTCTTTACACAGTTTGTATTTTTTCAGGGTTAATTTGGAATATTTTTCCTGTTGCAAACTGAAATGGTTTTAACGTACGTATTGAACATTGAAAAAAAGAACTATAAAAGAGAAAATAAAATAAAAAACAAAAAGCAGCAATTTTTAAATTTTTTTTATTTCACAAAATTTTTCAATGATAAATCTATACAACTATACCTTTTATATTTTTTGTTGTTTTTTCATTTTTTGGAAAGAACAAAAAACACATGCCCTCCAAATTCTCAAACACAGAAAAATTTTGCCAAAAGTTTTTTATATCTTTGATTTACCAGTTTTTTATAAATTATTAAATTTAATTGTAGAAAAACACATTAATCCACACTACTTAAGTTTTTTAAATGATCTTCCAGTAATAAATATATACTTTTTTATGACAACCTTTTTGTAAATATTGCTCGTAACAGACCCCCCCCTCTCCAAAAATCAGTTTCTCTTTTTTTGAAATTTTCGATATTTAGTGGTAATATTTTAAAAAAAATTTAAAAATTTCAAAAAAAGAACAAAATAAAAATTGTACTTAGGGAATCGAAAAAATACAGGGACATGGTGTATTTTAATTTTTCAAAGGAAAGATAAAAAAAATTTAATAAATACCTTTACCCTTGCCCCGAGTTCCCCTTAAAAAAAATGTCACCCCCCCCAACTTTTTAGATACAATTTTTATTTAAAACCTTTTTTTCCTTTCAAAAAAAAAATAAAAGGGTAGGTTACAGTCATTTTGTCATTAATAACACTTTTTCAATATATTCCATTTAGAATCAAAGCACAGAAAGGGCTAATTTGTTGGGGGTTTCCAGAATTAAGAAAGGTGAAAGGTTGGAGTTTATATGTAAGTCCACCAATGTTTTCCAGCGTTTAATTTAAAAGTAATTGGGGCTAAAGACTAATTGCAACACTGATTTTAAATCCAATTTTATTTGATTTTAAAAATTTAAAAAAAAAAATTACCTTTACGGGATTTGAACCCCAGACCTCCCCTTCCCTAAGCGAGCCCGAAAACCCTTTCAGCCAGGGTAAATTTAAAAGGAAACGGGCTGAAAAAAACCATATTATCTAAATTAGGGCTTAACGGATTTTAACGTTTTTTAACACAGATGTAAATAATCCTGGAGTTTACTATAAGAAATTTTTTTTAAAAAAAAAAGGCTGCAAGTTCTTTGGATTTTCTGATTTTTGCTCTAAATCGTACTGAAATTTTCTGTTGCTTTTTCCTTATAGGTTAATTTTTAGTATTATAATTCATTTTGCAAGGCACCAGAGTTTGATACATAGGGAATTCGCTTTAAAATAGAGTTACAAACAAAAAATTTTTTTAGTTCATTTTTAACGAAAAATCACAACTTTATCCTTTCATACATGACTTCCTTAACAAAAACACTTAAAAAAAAAATTTTTTCAAAAAAAAAATTTTTTCACGGGGTTTCGAACTTCGAGAAAAATCTCACCAAAAGCAAATGCGTTTCACTGTACCACGGAGAAAAATATACACAATGGTCGAAAAAACAATCATTCTAAAAAATTTAGAACTTCCCTTGCATTTTGGGTTTAACCTTATTTTCGAGGTATTTTTTTCAGGAAAACTGTTTTTAAAAAATTGAAGTAAATATTTTAGCGAAAAATCCTCTTGCCCAAACAGTCCGACTGTAGAACATTATTCCCCACCGGTTTTTTTTAGTATTTGGTTTTTAAAAAAGTATTTTCATTGAAAAAACATTTTTACCCCGAATTTTGATTTTTTTATTTACAATTCTATAAGCCAAACCATTGTTAACTTTAAATCGTTTAATTTTTGGATACTTGAACAAAAAAAAAATATTTTTTTCTTTTTAAAACGTGTTTTAAGCTGTTTTAGAACTACTTGTTGTTTGTTTTTGAACTTCTGTTCAGAGATTGAAAAAGTCCCCTTTGTATTTTGTTATTTCACAGAAAATACAATAAAACAAATTAAAACCTTCGACCCTTGGGGAAAACTGTGCTTTTAAAAATTTATGGGGCCTGTCTTTGACCATCTTTACGGCATGATTCCCCCTGAAAATTTTTTTGGCTTTTGTGTACATAAAAAAGGAAGTAACCCTCAAAAAAAGTGGACTAATTTCGGATTTGCAATTAAAAAATTATATTGAAATTCGCTAAAACCAAAAATTTTTTTTGGTCTGACACCCCCCAAAAAAATAAAAACTATTTAGGCTTTTTTTCCACTTTTACTTTAAATGACTATGGAATTTTTCTTCTATAAAATAAAATTCACATTTGATCCCTTTGAAAGATCTTTTTCCCTGGAAACAAAAGGTTTCTTGGGAAATTTTCATTTTCCCAATTTTTGACAGTCAGCAAAAAGTTTCCTAACCGCTGCAATAACCGCTAGGGACTTCATGTCCGTTTTGTATAGATTTTTTGCATAAAAAAAAGAACACTATAATCAACAAGTTTAAACCCTTTTATTTCAGTAAGCTAACTAGATTGCTTTTTCATGTGAAAGAAAAACAAAAGACCTTTGGTTCAACCTTTTTTTTAAAATTTTTTTTTTTTGGCTATTAAATTCATTGCTCTGCAAAGGTCATATTTGGGAACAGCTTTAAATTGTGGGGAAAGACCTAGTTGAAAAAACCATTCATTAATAGCCACATCATGAAAAACCAATAAATGGGATTGCGAAACCCGCATGGCCAAACCCGCCTGCCTCCATGCAGTCGATCAATCCCGTGGCGCAAAACCCAAAATTTGGTTTTTTCAGGCGCGGCTCATATCTGGGAAAGAGAAACAAAATTTTAAAAACCCCCAAACAACTGTAAGCTAAATTTAATATTCAAAACAAAAAATCAAATTTTTTGGGGACAACACCTTGCAAGACCTTTGAGCACTGATTACAGGTTGAGTTTTAAAATTAATTTACCGTAAAACAAAAGTGACCTTTTTCGCTTTTACTGGTGAAGAAAGATACCCAGTTGTTATTCTTTCAACCATGATGTGACCATGGATAAATGAATGCCAGAAAGCCGTATGTAAATATTCTAAATAGAAATTGGCATATAATCACATCAAAATAAATGAGAGTTATTAATAGCTGAGCTTTAATCATACTGATAAAAAGTTATTATGAAAGGGGCATAACATAACTTTATACAAGGAATTGGTTTTAGTTGATGATTGCTTGAGCAAATCATTGAACCTGTGTTCACATAACCCAATTTGTAAGGATTGGTCACTGGTGGATTTTTTTAATCCATCAAAGTCTGTCGCATTGCACAATCCAACAACAGAAGTAGCTGGAGATGAATACTTATACACAACTGAAATGTCTGGCTGCCATTTTATAATAATAGCCATTCATTTGCAAGCTCTATAAGTGAGCAAAAAGGTTTTCTCTTTTAATATGAAATATTGATTATCATTTGTAGACTTATTAAACATACAATGTATTGATTTGAACAGGGTCTTTCAAATAGAATGGTCTGGAAACGCGCTATGTAAACCCTTCTCGCTACAATTAAACAAGTCTCGGTATAAATCGGTATAGTTTGCTATAAGCAAATAATGTAAGTGTTCAAGAAAAGGGCGATTATTAAATACAAGAGCAAAAATGAAAATTTTAACGACATGATGTTATTTAAAAATCTTTAAACTTTTGAAAAAAGGATAAATATTTCAGGAAATGATGTTTTTTAAAGCCATCTTTGTTAAAAAACATAGATTGTTTGTTCAGAATATTGGCCGATAATCGGCGCCATCTTGAAAATGCACCAAATTAAAAATCAAATATTTGCAAATAACATCTTGAAATATTATAATATTTTTACATAATACGATTTAATAGCATCTTTTCCCTGTAAAATCAATTTCTATTTTGTCATTGAACAATGCATGAATGAAAAAAAGCTCATGAAACTCGGACCTATTTTCAAATATGAGCAGTAGATTTGTACCTTGACACCAGAATGGAAAATTTCTAATTTCATTGCAAAACTATAAAATTGTTACTTTTAAAGTAAAAACAGATAATTAAACGCAGTCAGAGTTAGTTTTTAGTAATTTTTTTTTTATTTTTTAACAAAACATTATCTTATAATTTGGTTTTTGAATGCCATATCACGGTCGGTAGATAACCCAATCATGTGACTCAACTGAGACAGCATTTTTCGTAAAATTGGTCTGTCTCCAGACCATTCTATTTGAAAGACCCTGATTTGAAATTAAAAGACATTCACAGAAAGGAAAATTATATCTTCCTAAAGCAATCTATGATAAAAAAAAGAAATCTAGTAATTATACCTTTTGCTACTGACATCTCATGTGAAACCAGTCTACGTAAAATAATATCAGACTGGTACACAAAACTTTCACTACATATCACTCTCGACTGGTTCTGCTGCTCAACATCAACATCTTCCACTGGCTGCACTGGCCTGCTAACTGCTTTCTGAAGCAACTCATGTACTGACTTTCTGTATAGAATTTTATAATATAGGATATAAATATAGAAAATGTAGAGATTAATGCTATTTTTGGAACAAAACACAAAGCGTTGCAAATTGACTGCACACTACACTATCCTTATTACTTCATAAAATAACAATAACCGAAATAAGAACACAAAGAATAATAAATTTGTCAACATCAATTGCTGGAGTTTAACTGTTACATATTATATAAATCTCGAATTTTTTAAATTCCACAAAGGGGTATACTTCTGTAAATATCTATGCTAGATTTATGGGCCTTGAACATTGACCCATTGACCTGTAATAATGACCATCAAGTCATATATATATACCTTCAGTGTTTGTAAAACCTTTATAAGGAAGTTACAAGTTCACAAAAGGCTTTAATTCAGTAATATCCATTCTAGAGATATCGGTCATGAAGATTTACCTACATTTATTATCCTGAAGACAGTCATGTGTGACAGAGTGGGGTTTCATGTTGTTTATGTTGTATGAAGTATCCTGTATTAAGTGTATGTTCTGCCATCAACAATGTCACAGTAAGTAGAATACCCCTAATACTTGCCTTATAAAAGTCCAGTGAAAAAAACAACAACAAAAATTACCAAGTTTGGAGAAAAGATATTTATAATGCATTTATTTGATGTATTTTTAAAATTATTTAAAAAAAAAACATCAAGAAGAATATTGGTCAAATACTCTCCCTGAAATCCAGCGTGAGTCTGAGTTTTTTTTCCTACAGAAAATTTTAGCTCTGCAGTGAAAGAGGTGGGTTTTTTTTATTAATTTCACAAAATTTATCTCTTGCAGTTTGTAAGGTGGGTCAAAACAAAAATGATTTTATATATACCAGTAGATATATACCAGTAAGCGATGTCAGAAGCAAAAGGTATATATAATCAGTTCAATAAAAACAAATGCTTTTCTTAAGCTTTCGACGTTTAGTCTTCTTCAGAAAAAATTGACGCTTATAAAATAACAAATGACAAATGACGCAACGTCCGTTTAACAATACGCTAAACAGAACGTGACGTTAACGCGGGAATAAAAACTTTGTCCAATAAATACAGAATCTTTCAGAATATAAATAGCAGCAATATACAATAAATTACACATTAATATGGATCTGCACATGTGATACAAAAATTCTCATAATAATAATGTATATAAAAAACCTTGATATGAGAAAAACATACTACATGTATATGTATACCGGCTTCAATAATGACAAAGTTGATAATAATCTGTACAAAACTTTTTGCATTCATATACATTAGGAAATTTTAATGTGTTAAAGCTTATTGAATCCAGGTATATTCTTGTAAAAAGCGTTGCCATATCATCGGTGGACAATCTCTATAGGCATAAATTTAAAACTCCTTAATACAATGATTGGTTTATATTAAAGTGTGTCAGCGACATTGGTTCAGAAATATAACGGATCGAAAAAATTGTTGAATATCAAGCAAAGGTGTATAATAACTCTAGATTTTGCTTTTTTCATATTTTAACCAAAAAGTCATTTACAAGAAGATTGTCAATATATGTTTGCTTTACATTTATGTTTCAATACTGTCCTCTGAATACTTCAAACATACAAATCCATTTTGTAAAACTGTTCTATTTATAATAAAAACTTTTAATCATTCATTTCTTACAAATCTGACTCTTCAGTAAAGGTAATGCTGTGCTCCTCCCAGCTATTTCTTGACCAATCCGGTGGCTCCATCTTGGTTGCCATAGTAGTAATTACATCATCTGCTACCTTGATTTCACGCTTCGCATTCTGGGATATTGCGATGTCAACATCTATCTGGAGATAAATCTGACAGAAACCTATTTCGTCTGAAAACGAGATTCATATACATGTATGTCAAACAAGGCATGTATGTTGAACCTGCTTATATATTTGTATACTGGACTGGTACTTCTTAGATTTGGAATAGCCCACAATGAGTTTGATGAATTTTAACATCAAAATGATAAACCTGGACATCAAATTGTTTAGAATAAAGTGTTCAAATGTGTAAGCTGGCCTAGTGACTGATACAATCTTTTGATTGTCCAAGTTCTTTGTTTCCAGTATTTCTTTAACATGACCCATACCTTTGGAATTGGGAATTTTGGCAGTGATTTGCTAAATACTGTGGGTAGGTCACCTAGACTGGTTCCAAGAATAAAAACTGATGATTATATGTGGGCTATAAAAAATGACCGGATTAATTGTAGAATAATGTACTCAATGATGTAACTATAATTACTAATCAATAATTCATTACATGCATTATCAAACTAAAAATAAACTTAAACTATATTAAAACTATAGATGTAAACAGATAATAAACATATCAGCTTTCATCTGATTTATTAAGAGTCAAGTGTCAAATGGAATACTGATTTCTGTCATTTTTCTTTCAATATCCCCTAAAATAAAACATACTTGAAAATACTTGTAAAATCTTAACTGCAAAGCAAATATTACATTTCCATTTAAAAAATTTCATGTTCTATTTTTTCTCTTTTCGATCTGATATCTTTCTAATTTATTTAAACATGTATATGTTAAAAGAGCCACAAAACCAGGTTTTCCATCTGGAATCGCAAAGCCCTAATCAGTTTATCCAATGAGACTTGCGGATGATAGACTAGTTGTGTGAAAGTTGGGTTGGTATCTCGAGAAATGTTTGAGCTGTACACAGTAGAAACTTTTCATGTCCATCCACCAACATTCACCCATCTTATTACCACTGGAAAACCTGGTTAGGTATAAGTTTTTCTTAACTTCTCTAACTTACATTTTCTAGCCAGCTGGTAAAAGTTGTATCTCATACTCGAGTAGTACATGTTATCATCTATCATGATATAGACTGTGTCACTATCTCTGATCTCTAAAACACTACTTTCTTTTAACAAAGTTGTAAATTTTTCCCATAATGCCTCAGTCACTTCCTTTTCAAGTTGAAAGTCCAATGAAAGTCTTATGTCAGAAGACTGGTTCCCTTTCTTTATTGCCTGTATCAAATTGTCCACACACTTCACAATACCAGCTCTGTATCTCTTCCAGTTTGACTAGAAAAGAATAAAATTTAATATAACAGCTTCCAACCTGTATCACTACATCAAAAGCTACATAACTTTAAATTTACCATGTAAATAAATCAATTATCTTAAATATTCACCTTTAATTTTCACTTCTTACAAGTTAAAATTGGATATTCTTCTTAAAATGACATTTTTCATTTTCAGCTTGAAATTGAATGCAGATTAACCCTTTACCTAATATAGACGTGTTTTGACGGCTTTTCGATCCCCCTCCCCCCTTTTTGAGGCATCAAACAGTGAAAAATTACCCTATTTAGACCCCAAACACTGTTTTTCGTTTGGGAAATGTTGTTAAAAAAAAGTGATCACTTTTTAGGCGCCGCCCCCTATCAAAAAAGGTACATCTGGGGGTTGCCAGAAGAGGGATGTGCCACCTTCTGTTTGGGGGGGTTTGAAAGGGGAAGGCAGCCCCTCTCATTGCCAAAAAAAAATTTGACATGTGACAGACTAAAAATGGCCTCGGGTAGATCTTATGGTAATGTGTAACCAACGCTGAAAAGCCATCTTAATCCATTGAGAAGTTGCAGCACTTTGAAATCAGTTTTGATGATAAAAAAAACAATGCAAAATAGTGATTTTTGGCTATTTTGAGATGTCCCCCTGTTGCCATGGTAACAGGAAATTAAAGATTGAGCATGCTGTTACAAAGGCTATAGTCCAGTCAAAATTTGTGCCAAGTTTCATCAGTATTGAAGCATTTTTCATAGTTGCATAGCAGTTTGAACTTGTTACAGGAGGCTTTTCAATAAAAATGGCCATTTTTCACAATATGCTCATGAGGTAAAGGGTTAATCAAAAGCAACACCTACAGTGTATGTTCTGAACCAATATATATTTCATATAGGATGTAAGCCTTAGCCTAGGAATATAATGTATATGAATCATAAAACATTAAATTATAAATGTTTGGGTTTTTAAATCTGCAAATACACACCTGTCAAGATTATAGGCATTCACTAACAAAATAAGCACACATTGAATATCCTATCTAATGAATTTCAAGTCATTTTGTAGGAATACTGATTAAGACGATATGTATAAATTTTCCTTGTCTTTATGCAAATTATGGTCAGTGTCAATATACTGAATTCTTTTAATTTTATCAATGTTTAATTGGTTAAACAGGGGTATAAAGTTATATTCATATATCCCTAAATTATATTAATGCCTTGTTCAAATAATTTTGGCACCAGAGTAATTTTGTACTGCACTGACTATAAAAAGAAGCAAGGCAACAGATTCAAGCCAAATAATGAAAATTTAGAAACTGTTTTAATTCATAAAAAAATATTGAAAATAGTAAACTTACTATAAAGTATAAAAATTTGATGATGTTTAAATTACATCTTTAAATTCACAAATAAAAAACAAAATCTACTGCTTCAAATATTTAAAAAAATCTTTACATGTTTTTTATGTTTATATTATTGATAAAAAGTTGTTTATCTTTTGAAAGTATACATGCAGCTGCAATGAACACAGTCAGTTGTCCCACAGACTTTAACTTTATGTAGTGTTACCTGTTGTTGACTGTCTGAGAGTATAAGAATCTTCTCTAGGTGAGGAGGTAATAGTCTGTCATACTCAACAATAACAAACTTTGATGATTGTAATCCACTAGATTCTAAAATAAACAATAATGGAATGATCTTTACAATTAGTGACTAAACAAGCTGGAAACATTTTGTCATGTTGGTGCTATATACTATAGAATGCTTTAAATTTACAAATTTTTGTTGTTGTTTTTTTGTAATTATTTATAACCTGAATAAAATTGCCATAGAGCAAATTATAATGATTTCCAGTACATGTATAATGAAAATGTTCCTGAAACTTGTATACCTGAGTAGAATTGGAGCTGTTTTGAAAGATGAGATTTTCCTGAAGCTGGCAGACCACACAAAACAACCAAACAGATAATTGCCATGTGATGCAGACGTATCTTGTGACTGCTGTGGGTGTTGTAACAAGTTAAATCTGAAGAGAAATGGCAATTACATTGAACAATTCAAAATGTATACTGAAAAAAACAAAACATAAGGTAATTCTTTTGAGATAAAACTTTTCAATGCATTGTTAACGATGTTTGAAGAAAATTGTTCAAAGTGAATCCACTTTACAAGGTTCATTAATTTTTCATTCATCAATTTATTTTTATAGCATCTATTTTCAAAGTCAATAAATCAGTCTTCCAGCATAGGTTAAACTCCAGGTCAGACTACATATTTTTCTCACTGTGTACCAAATTTAGTTGAAATTCAAAACACGTACAATATATAAATCATGTCTCAACACTATCTTTTAAGCATATATGGTATGCAAGACTTTCAGATGCTCCTTCTGCAAATGAGGTGGTCGTCATTTTTTTGTATATTTTACCTTATAAAGTAATTGTTAACTGTGGAGGAAATGGACATAAATATTTGGAAACAAGACAACTCACCCCCCAGACGATTCACTCCCCCAAAAAACCAAATATTTACGGTAAACATCTACATGGACACAATATGAGACCAATACTTGTATGTGGGTCGACTTGTATTTATTAATTGCATTCCCTTATTCTAAATTAAAAATAAATTCAGATTTCAAAGTGTTTCAAATCTCAAAAGAAAAACATAACCAAAGAGATTCAAACCTTAAGTCTCCTCCAATTTTAATATTCTACCATGGATCTTTATGATACAAGTCTTTGTTCAGTGATTCTAAATGCAATTTATTTACGCGGTATGCCTAAAATACGAAAGTGAGATTTTTGACGAAAGTGAGCGAAAGTGGGCGAAAGTGACTTTTAAAATTTGAACTGTACCGTTTTAATAGAATTTCACAGTGAATTTTCTGTTTGTGGACGTATATTATTAGCAACTAATAATATTTCTTTTAAAAAATAATCACTAATATAGTATATGATGATTTAATGCCATTTATTTGCATAATTTCTGTACACAAGTTCTGAGATCTTCCTTTCGCTCACTTTGAAAAAATACGAAAGTGACTTGTAAATTATTAAATATGGAATTGAAATTTATACTAAAATTGCAGTTTGCAGACGTATATTATCAGAAATCTATAATTTTTATTTTAAAAAATAATCATTATGATCTTTAACCACCAAATAAATGGCGATTAAATCATGATTATGGTTATTTATTATAATACATATAATAAGTTGCTAATAATATACGTATGCAAACAGCAATTTTACTGTAAAATTCTATTAAAACAGTACAATTCAAATTCTAAAAGTCACTTTCGCTCACTTTCGCTCACTTTCGTCAAAAATCTCACTTTCGTATTTTAGGCAAACCCTATTTCCGGTACAACTTTGCGAACTGAATTGAAACACGGCTTTTGATTGAAATAATTTCAGATTTTTGGTTATAATGGAAGATATCATGTAACAGCATTAGTTCATTTCAAAAGCTTTTTTTAGTATTTAGAACTGTGACAATTTAACAATTGTTTACACTATTTTATAAATATCTGAAAACGAAAGTGAAAGTAGAAAAACACCACGTAAAAAAAAATTCGTTTTCAGATATTTATAAAATAGTGTAAACAATTGTTAAATTGTCACAGTTCTAAATACTAAAAAAAGCTTTTGAAATGAACTAATGCTGTTACATGATATCTTCCATTATAACCAAAAATCTGAAATTATTTCAATCAAAAGCCGTGTTTCAATTCAGTTCGCAAAGTTGTACCGGAAATATGCCTATGAAATAAATGCAAATCTACGTGGTGATTAGTAAAATATAAAGATGTTAAGATATGTACTGCTTTAAAAACACATTATATCACATAATTATTTTCAATTAAAATTTATCTTTTTCCAATGCAATTACAGATATCACTTGTAAGAAATAGAAATATTTGATGAAAAATAACTAAAATTTGCACTTCCTTTAGTGACGTCATGACGTGTCTCACATGGCCGATATTGAGAAGGAAATTGCACAATAGTTGAAAACTTGTAAACAAAGTCGATATATAAATAAAATAACCAGTGTTTATTGAACTAAACTTATAGTTGCTGACAGTGAAATCAACAAAGAGCATTGTGAATCACGATCATAGACATTTTTCGGGAAAATCATTCCCGCCATACGGACCAAAGGTTTAGAAACTCGCAAATAACTGAAAGAAAATGGCCTCTAACGGCGTAGATGGCGAGACCAATGCTGATCGTAATGTAGAAATATGGAAAATAAAGAAACTTATAAAAAGCTTGGAAGCTGCTCGTGGGTTAGTGTATTTCAAGGATTTATAAGGAATTTCTATAAATTATTATAAAAATAATTTTTCATTGACCAAATAATTTATCATTAGACAAAATTAATCTAGAAGAATTTCAGTTGGTGTTGAAAGGGTTGAGCCATGGTCACTGATCAGTAAAAACGTGTGTTCAATTAGAATTTTGTGGTAATTTCTTGGATTAAACTGGGATCTAACTTAAGATCTTACTATGCGTATTCTATGACATGACGTGAACACTACGACATTCCTAGTTCTGGCTTCCAAAACTTTATAAGCCGCTATTTAACATTTTTGTTTTTCATCTGATGCGGCATTAAAGTTTTGGATTAGACCCGTTATGAAACCTAACCAGAATAACATAAGATGATTTATTCTTGTTTTTCACTTGCAAATACACTTGACCCAATCAATTCTTGTGCATTTTACGATAAAACAATTATTTTAATATCGTTCTATACCAATTAGAGTATCAAAATATTAATACCGTCATTAAAATTGCCTATTTAACTGTAAAATATCAATTTACGCCGACTACAGTCGGCCATGACATTCAGGTGCCACGCGAGACCTCGTATGACGTCATTCGCGGGAACAGATTTGAATAGTGTTGTGTACTATATTAAAACATTTTGTTGACATGATTTCGATATTTTTATTCAAGATAATGTTTTTATTTATTTTCATTAATTTTTTAGTACTTAAATACGATTTTATTGAATATTAAAGTCAGTAAATCACCTTTTTCACTATCTTTAAAAAAGAAATTTATAAAAATATTGGAGACACATGGGTTCATAAAGGTCAATCTCGTAATCACGTGGTCAAACATTTTGGCAATATGGCGGCCAAGTGCCGAAAATTTTACCTGTCGGAAACTATTAGGTAGTTTATGTTCGTAAGGCCATCCTTAAAAAAATGTTTGTTTGCAGTAACGCGACCGACTCACAAAATTTGCCCCTACTCAAAATTTTTTTTCATGGTCTGGATAAAAAAATTTTTTTTTGGAATCAGAAAATTATGCCTTGTGCTTTGTTTTCGTTCTGTTAAAGGTTAATAGAAGAAATAAAATGTAGGTCTTATTAAATTAGAATTCAGTTATCAATTTATTAATTGTTACCAGATTATCAAAGCATATATTGTCCAGCATTTTGAAATTCCATGTTTATTTAGGAGTACACTTCAATAAAAAAAAAAAAATCGACCTACCTTCCCACCTTGAAAATTCTGGGTCGGGTTACTGCAAACAAACATTTTTTTAAGGATGGCCTAATAAGATTTTTATTTGTCCATCCTTGGCTTATCAACAGATTATATATAGTTTTATCAAGGTATGCTTCACTTTACTTCATGGCATGTTCGATGAATAAATACAAGCGTGTCAGTTTCCTGGCACGATTATTGGTGTACTTTCCCTACGGGGTTATCTTCAGCGTTCACGTCATGTCATAGTATATAAACGGGTACGCTGAAGACCTTAAGCTACGACATTCCCATATAAAAAGTTCACCAATATTTGTGCCAAGAATCTGACATGCTAGTATTTATTAGTAGTAATAAAAAATTATTATTCTTAGAGCACGGCGCCATGAAGTAAAGACACTTTTAATATTTTGATAAATCATAATTGAAATAGTCTAGAAAGATGTTCAGTTGAAATGATATTTTTATCGGATAATGTACAAGAATAAATAAGAAAAAGATATTTGCAAATTTAAACAAGGTTTCACCAAAATGTCCTATTCAGTTTAGGTTTCATAATGGGTCTGATCCAAAACTTTAATGCCACATCAGGCGAAAGAAAAATGTTTAAAAAGTAGTTTATAAAGTTTTGGAAACCAGAACTATATGTTGACATGTCTTTGACTTTATGACAAGGTTTATACCATTTTCTTTAGTTAATTAATATGCTACATTTTGCAATGATGTATTCAGGGCTCACTGGCGCTCAAATAAAATAAAAGCCAATATTTTTAACTTAAAAAATTATAGCCAAAAGTTTAGCAGACTGTTCACGATTTAGTGATTAACAACATAAGCAGTTGATTGAATATACATTAGGCCTACATATAAAACTTTTTCTGTTTTATCAATGGAAAAAAGTTATAGATTTTGTCTTTTTTCAGCAATGGCACCAGCATGATTTCTCTTATCATTCCACCCAAAGATCAGATTCCTCGAGTCTCCAAAATGTTAGCTGATGAGTTTGGAACAGCATCAAATATTAAAAGTCGTGTAAACAGACTATCTGTACTTGGAGCTATTACATCTGTACAGCAAAGATTAAAATTGTACAACAAAGGTAATTCTTGTTTGTTCACAATAACTATATTAAATAAAGGATATTGAATGAGTGTCAGTTCAATACTGTATTTATTGAACGAGTTGAATAAAATTAAATTATGCGAGCCTCTGGCGAGCATAATATTATTTTATTCAACAAGTCCAATAAATTCAGTAATGAACTTGCACCAATTTATTCTAATTTTCTATTAATCACATAAATAAAGACCATTTAAAGTGAAGAAAGAGTCATTTTTCATTGACGCGCCATTGACTATATAGTAAAACGCTAACTTTTAGCGCGTCTTTACACTATGTTTGTATAACGCTAATGACGTCAGGTCAAAATATGTGCACGGCCATGCAATACCACTTTTACGGAGTCGCAAAATCGACACGGGTGTGTGATAAATTGGTTTATGTGATAACTTTGAAATGTGTTCATTTTGATATGTGTCGCTGTGAACAATATACTAATGTTAATGCCTGTGAAGCTCTGGACATATTGGTGTTTGGTTTTAGAGTATATTTCGTGATAAAATATCAAATACATTGCAATGTAAATAATTTTCAAACTTTCATAACAGCAAACCATATATAAACTACTTATTGAAGATCATGCATTTGTACTTAAACAAAATCAACAGAAACAATTTGTGTTCTTTAAAAAAACAACAACACTCATTTGAGGATTAGAATTTCCAAGTTTTGAAGAATTTATTAAAAGTCCTCTCCTAAATATTTTGCTCTTTTTTCATTGGATTAATATTTTGCTTTATTGTTTATCAGTACCTCCAAATGGGTTGGTGATATATTGCGGAACAATTGTGACAGATGAAGGGAAAGAAAAGAAAGTGAACATAGACTTTGAACCATTTAGACCTATCAATACATCCTTATATCTATGTGATAACAAATTTCACACCGAGGTAAATACACAGCAGTTTTGATAAATTCACAAGAGTAGAAAATAGATTGCCTTCTGGTAAAAGTTTACTTATTACAATCACATGAAGTAAAGATATTAACTGTACATGTAATATGGGAAATTTCTCTGTGACAGTTGAGTCTAATGGTCCCTTATTTCACACCATTGATACAAAAATCATATTGCATTGGTCACTCTGGGAAGTTAGTTATTCAGAAAAACTGTTGTTAAAAAGTGTAAAAATCAAACCTGCTTTATGTTCATACTCTTTTTCTTTCTAATGATTGTGTCATCATTTCAGGCATTAACAGCACTGCTTGCAGATGATAATAAATTTGGTTTTATTGTGATGGATGGTAACGGGGCATTGTTTGGAACATTGTCAGGAAACACGAGGGAAGTTTTGCATAAATTCACAGTGGATTTACCAAAAAAGCATGGTCAGTATCATTCAGTCAAAATAGTAGATGAAAAATTGAACAGAAAATAAAATACAACATTGGCAATATGCCATAAAAATACACTTTAAAATGAGTTAGCTTTAAAGGTACCTATAGATGGTATGTTGACAGTTATGCATCTGATATACCTTAAGATGATACGGTGTCTTGAGTCATCTTGAGTGACATGCTTGGTAGAGTGGTCAAGATCATTGACTTCAAATTTCTTGCCCCTCACTACTGTAGGTTCACACCAGGGGCTTTGAATAATTTATGTGAGGAGCTATCAAGCTAGCTGATGGAATGTCAGTTGTTCTACTCAAGTGCCTGCTCCTGCATGTAGTAATGTAGTATTACAGAAAAGGGTATCTTGTGGTATTTCTCCACCAATAAAGTGGGAAAATGGCCATATAACCTTTCAAATATGTCATTGTGACTCAAAAACCAACCCGAAAAAAGTAATCTATGTATTTTCAGGGTAAAAAGTGCTTAAATTTGAGTCCCTTTCTTAAAAAGTGTTTAATTATGAAAAAAGTGCTTAAATTTAAAAGTCCTTGAATTTGATAACTCTCTTGAAAAGTACTTAAATAGTGCTTAAATTTGCTGATAATGTGCTTGAAAATGATTGAAAAACAGTGTTGGTAAAAACCGACAGTTAAACAAAAAACCGATCCACATTAGCAGACTGACATTAGTAAATGTTTGCACAACGTAACCAGCGGGGAAGAATTGCTGTTTATTCAAACTAGTTTGTATTTTTTGCACCCTTTGTTCTATAGAAATTGTAAAATTGTTGATTGAAAATGTGTATTTGACAAAAAAAAATTGGCTGGAATCTGTGTGGAGAAACATGCAACACATTGTATTTAAAAATTAGGAAAACATGCTTAATAAGTGCTTAAAAAGTCCTTGAAAAGTTTTATTTTACCCTTATAATTCTTTAGGAAGAGGAGGTCAGTCAGCGCTTCGTTTTGCTCGATTAAGAATGGAGAAGCGACACAACTATGTACGCAAAGTAGCAGAAGTAGCTGTACAGATGTTTATCTCAAACGACAAAGTGAATTGCTCTGGTCTTGTATTGGCCGGGTCAGCAGATTTTAAAACTGAACTCAGTCAGTCAGATATGTTTGATCTGGTAAGTAAGACCAACTTACTTATAGATGCAAATTCATCCACCTCTTGGAAATAGCAGATACATATATTAAACATCATGTGAAAGGCCCCCCCCGACATGGTGAAGAGCAAATTGAAAATCTCTACACTGCAAGTTAAACCCTGCTTTTTTGCATAAAATGTTGAAAGGTTTACCCCCCCCCGTCTGTCCGACCGTCATGGTGAAAACTGAGCAAATTGAAAAGTACTCTACATGAAACTGGTAATGGATAGATGGCAGTATGGAGATTATGCACGTCTTTTTCTTTTCTTCCTATGTTGAAAATTCTGGTTTGCTATGGCAACAAATAGGCTGAAAATATGGCAAATTTTACACATAAACTGGATCCAGTGATAACGCAAAAAGTACTGGAAATATTTTTATGAAACTTTACATATGGGTAGATGGCAGTCTTGAGATTATGCACGTCTTTTTCTTTTCTTCCTATGTTGAAAATTCTGGTTGCTATGGCAACAAATAGGCTGAAAATATGGCAAATTTTACACATAAACTGGATCAGTGATAACGCAAAAAAGTACTGGAAATATTTTTATGAAACTTGACATATGGGTAGATGGCAGTCTTGAAATTATGCACGTTTTTTTCTTTTCTTCCTATGTCGAAAATTCTGGTTGCTATGGCAACACATAGACTGAAAATATGGCAAATTTTACACATAAACGGAATCCAGTGATAACTCAAAAAGTACTGGAAATATTTTTATGAAACTTGTTTTATTATGTTTTGTGGTCGATATTTTCAAATACAGACTTCATCCTCAAATTCATTATAAATGGCAATACACAGGAGTGTATGACAATTAAAGAACTTTTTGAGGGACCGGTAGGGGACTACTGTATTGCCCGCAATACTATCAAATGCTTGTTTTTTTTTGTCATGCCAGTTGCGGCGAGCTCGACTTAGTCACCATCTTTGGTGTATGTGTGTCCGTCAGTCTGGATTTGTCTATATAGATTACAAAATAATTTCAAACAAATGTTCACCATAATGGGGTGGTGTGTCACACACAAAACCCATGTCCACCACTTGAAGGTCAAGGTCACACTTGGGGTCAGCTCAAAATCTGTGTTCAGAGCAACTTGTGCATTCATGGAGGGATTTTAATATAACTTGGGACAAATATTTTCCATCGTGAGGTGGAGAAGCTCGAAAAATTCAGATGTCTGCGGTCAGGGTCACACTTAGGGGTCAAAGGTCAGATGACAAAATAAAACATTCATGAGAGTATAACTATTTAATATTACTTAGAACAAATGTTCTTCATGATGAGTTGAGTTGTCTTGAGCAAAATAAAGGTCAAGGTCACAACTTGTCAAAGGTCTAATAAAAATATCAAAATTTGTTGTCAGCTCTTATCTTGCTTATGCTTTGAAGTATTGTGCTTAGTGGTCAGGGGAGTTTTATTAAGCCCACTTGCATATAGTTGTTAAAATGGCTGTTCAGTGTTTGTGTGTGTGTCCAAACTTGTCCATGCAATAACTGCTTTGTGCATGGAGGGATTTTCAAATAACATGAACAAATGTTCATCATGAGACTTTGTCATGCACATGAACTGGGTCAGAAGTCAAGGTCACCTAAGATAATGGAATGTCAAGATTTTGCCTTGGATATAAAAAGGATCTGTTGAGCACATTTCACCTATGTATACATCTTTCTCCTTGATCTGAAGCTTATAGGATCAGGTTTGATTTTAGACGAGCAGGCCCTGTGGGCATGTTTTGTTTTTGACTGTGTGGTAATATTACTGGTTAGTAAATATGATGTATATATTGTTACATTTCAAAATCATAATAATACATACTTATGATGCCTCTCATATTTTAGAGATTACAACAAAAAGTGATAAAAATAGTAGATGTATCATATGGTGGTGAAAACGGGTTTAACCAAGCTATTGAACTTAGTGCAGATGCATTATCAAATGTTAAATTCATCCAGGAAAAGAAATTAATAGGTAAGTCTATGCGAAAGATATAACTGTTGAAAAGAAATAGAAATATTACTTGGAAAGACTTTGTTCCTGTCTCAATCTGGTCGAGTTGTTAAGGCCACAAATTTTGCACGTCTTTCTCCTCACTTCTCCAAATGAATATACATGTCAGCTTTCAGATGGTTGGTAGTTTTACCTATATTTTTGTACATGTATGTACCATTATGTGTAGAGAAGCATATCCGGTATCTCAACATCATGTCTAGAAGTCAGAATTTGAAAGTGGGTCACCACCCAATTAAATTTTCATTTCTGATTTAAAAACTTTATGAAATAGAAAATAGAATATTTCAAATTCATTTAAAAATTTTATTTATATATGATTTATTTTAAAGGCCGATATTTTGATGAAATCTCACAAGACACTGGGCGATTCTGTTTTGGTGTTGATGACACATTGAAAGCACTAGAGATGGGAGCTGTAGATATTCTCATTGTATGGGAGAACCTTGATATCACCAGATACGTGCTCAAAAATCATCAAACAGATGGTGAGTTATTATATGTTAATGTGTTAGTAAACGCCTACGTGAAATCATCACAGTTTAACCAATATCGCAAAAGATGGAGATCTCTGGTTGAAAATGGGATGTAAATATTCATGTGCCCTGGTATCATTACTGTATTTCTTTTCGACTGTAACATGGAGAAGAAGTACAAAATGCTTTGTCAAAATGTTGCTGGATTTACATTATGTTGGGTAGTTTGAAGTTATTCAGAGCAAGATTAATTATTTAAGTACTGCAGGTGGTTCTTTAATAAATATTTATATCGTTCTTCTGCACTTGCATAGCAATATACCATCCTGACAGTTATGAGTATTTTTAAAGTAAATGTTAGTTTGCTCAGTGAAACATAAATAAAGAAACAAAATGAAGATAAATTCATTTAACTATTTGATTAATTAGCTCACCTGAGCACAACATGCTCGTGGTGAGCTATTGTGATCCCCTACCGTCTGTCGTCATGCGTATTCAACAATTTCTTTAAAACAACATCTCCTCATAAACCAATGACTGCACAGTAACCAAACTTTACAAGAATTGTTCTGGTCTGTTTCATAAGTAGGTCACAGGGCTAGAAAAGGAGTTTAAAAAACTTAAAAATCTTCTTGTCTGAAAGTACACGGCCTAGAGCTTTGATATTTGGTATATGATATCACCTATAGGTCCTCTACCAAAGTTGTTCAAGTTATAGCCCTGAGGTCAAAATTGGCCTTGTCCTGGGGGTCATAGGTTTTCCTTATATGTTTATAGTAAAAACTTAAAAAATCTTCTTGTTTGAAGGTACAAGGCTTAGAGCTTAAATATTTGGTATATAATATCATCTATAGGTCCTCTACCAAAATTGTTCAAATTATAGCCCTGGGGTCAAAATTGGCCCCGTCTCGGGGGTCATAGGATTTCCTTACATGTTTATAGTAAAAACTTACAAGACCTGCTCTGAATTGACAAAGGCTAGAAGTTAGATATTTAGCATGAAGCATTGTATAGTGGAACTCTTCTAAAATTGTTCAAATTATAGCCCTAGGGTAAAAATTGGCCCTACCCTGGGGTCATATGTTTTCCTTATATGTTTATAGTAAAAAGTTAAAAACTGTTCCCATCTACAAATTTTAACCTTGATCATAACTTTAAAGTTCTTGGTGTATTGTCTTAAAACATCAACTTCTTACCTACACAAAAAATTAACCCAGTTTTGTATATTTTTTTAAGACCTGGTAACTTTTGTATATCAATTGCATTTAGAACTCAGGTGAGCGATTTGGGGCCAATGGCCCCCTTGTTTTTGAAAGTTTAGAACTGAACAAAAAATTGTTAATCATTTAAATAAGTTGTTTTATCAACATGATCTTTGAAAGAGTGATTACTACTAAAAGTGAAGAGGTTTTACATTATTTGAAATTACTGTATTTACTTTTATGGTTGCTTTTATTTCAGTTGAAAACATCCTTTTCCTCACACCAGAGCAAGAAAAAGACAAAACTCACTTTTTAGATAAAGATGTAAGTGACCACCACCAATACGTCATTTCTATTTTGTGTATTGTTTAGGTTTTAAGTATCAAGGAAAATCAATATTAGCTCTAAAGCAGAGCTCCAGAAAGCATGCGTATCAGCGTGAAATACGCATTGAAAATCTAAAATACACATCACTTTTAGAATTCATGCACAACAAAATAAAAATACGCTTGTATCATACTATGTCAAAACACAAGCGTGAAGAATAGAAGTGTATACATTTGATATTTAAAAAAGGGATGTTTGTAGCATAAAAATGCAATACATTGCTATTTCATTGCATTGAAAACTAAAAATTCTATTGTCAACAACAGATGTTAAAGAAAAACAGAAGAGAGGTAACAAATAAAATTTATGTGCAAGGTAATTATCGTAGGAGTTAACATAGTATAAAGTTTGTTTAGACATCCATTGTCGTGCTTATGCTTAAAAATATACAAAAATATATTTCAATTTCTTTCACTTTTGTTGTAAAAGTACTAAAAAAGTAAGAAAGAAAGAAAAAAAATCTGTTTAATTTAGATCACACTGCCCAAATATGGAAAACCTTGTTAACACTCTGTCACATTAGAGGTCATATTTTTGACTCAGTTTTCATCATCAAACTTTGTCAGGACGTTTGTCTAAGTAATTACTCGGATGAGTTCAATGGGTCAGGGGCAATGTTGGCCCTCTTGTTTACTTTTCTTAAAAGGTAAGTATGTTTTATTTTCATGAAATATAAGGGTATGCATTTTAAGGGATGAATACAAATGAAGATGTGATGGAATACGTTAATTTTGGCTGAGCTGTAATTTATTGGAATTAATTGAAATTAATATGTGATTTTCAGACTGGTGTAGAATTAGAGCTTCAGGACCAGATGCCTTTATTAGAATGGTTTGCAAACAATTACAAGAACTTTGGAGCCACCCTGGAAATAGTGACAGATAGATCACAAGAAGGTGCACAGTTTGTGAAAGGATTTGGTGGAATTGGAGGTTTGTACAGTTAAAACAAATTGCTTGTATTTACTTAGCATATATGCATGCCATTAGTAAAGTGTTAACTTAGTTTGCACTTAAGTCCAGACTTCATGCAGCTTAATATTAGTTAATACATTGTATGTCTTACGGCAAAATCAGTAGGAAATGTAGCTTAAAATGTATCTGTTTATTGTTTTATTTGTGCTGAACATCATGATGAGCTACTACTATCCATCTAGCATATGGAATGTCAGGTGCCCACTTGTGCCTGAAATAATGCATGGTGGGGCATTTGAGGTATTTTGTCAGTTGTGGTGGTGGAAAGTTGCAACTGCTGATGTGACTTAAAAACCCAACAAATTGACATTCTTGTTTAATCTTTATAGAAATTTTATTTTGAAATAGAAATATTATTTTTAATTTGTTGTTGTATTAATGGTACAGGGCCAGCTTTCTAATACATTGTTTTTGACAAGAAGTTTTACTATGTTTACAGGAATTTTACGATACCAAGTGGACTTCCAGATACTAGATCCAGGTTTAGACGGCTTTGACGATTTCAACCTTGATGATTATTAAATTATTTACAAACATTTGGCCATGCTGAGAGAACGTCATGTGAAATCTGTTCATGAGTAATCTGCTTTAATAACCTTCAACTTTTGATGATTTTCTCCTGGAAATGTACAGGTCTATGAAGAATTGAATTGTGTAAAAAAATCATTCTAGGGCTAGATATTAAATTTTTGTAATGGCATTGACCAGTAAGATGTTTTCTTACACTAAATGATTGTTTGTCTGTCCTATAAGGTATTTGTCTGGGGTCAATTTGCTGTTAACAGTAAATATTTTGATTTTAAAAATTGTAACAGAATAAAAGCAACTCTCTCAGCTTGAACATATCTTTAGAAAAAACATGCAATATGGGTGTGAATAGATATTCATATAAAATCTGTGATTACAGTCATTGACATAGTATTAATTGGCCCTATGGGCTGCTTATAGTTCAATGTACTTTGTCTGAACTAACATTTGGTTGCTCAGGACAATGCATTATAAGTCTCTGTGTAATGTCTAGCCCTGAAGTTAAGTTTTTATTTCTTTTTTATGTTCATAGTTTGATTATAAATATACCTCTTTGTAACAATGATTCTGTGAAAGAAAAAAAATTCAGGTACATAATTTATTGTATACAATTATAGTAAACAAAATACGTTTCTGGGGGGAAAATTTAATAAATGTCAACAAATTTCTTCTGTATACATAATTTTGTCATTAAACATTTGTCCATATGCTCCATACAATATTAATAATTGTCCAACTAAAATAAGCCGCAATAAATCACTTGAACATGTATTAAAGTTGTGAAAAAAGAGTTAACTCAGCCTGTTCAACATGTAAAGGGCTCAAAGCATTTTGTACCTTTTCGAGATACATATATTTTGAAAAATATTTTTCTCACATCTGGAGGCTTGCAGCTTGTATGTTAATTATAATGATATAAATTTAATTGTTATTTTTTCCAACTTTTACAAGTGCTGGGTATTTATAAAAACACCAAAAAAGAGTTATTATGCTTGGTATGAAAATAGTTTGTACAAAACAAATGTTAGATATGGAATAATGGTTTATTTTATGATTTTGTTTTTGTTTTGTTCATTGGTTCTGATAACTTTATATGAAAACATGTACAGAACACTCTCCAATATGTATAATTATTTATTTTGTTTATAAAAATTGTTTGCCAAGGAGAAGGTTATAAGCAGGATATTGTACACATTGAACCATGTGTCAAATCAAATACAGATTATATCTGATATATACAGTGTTGTGTCTTCATTTCTTCATGCTAATACAAGGTACATGTATTAAATTGGCTCAATTTAAATGAGCTCATTTTAAACAAGTGTAACACTTTGGGTTTTTGTGGCCAAGTGTTTGTTGTTTTAAACCACCTGTCCTTACCACTGGATTCAGTCCAGTCGGGAACTTTTGATTTTTCACATGCGAGGATGTGATCCAGCAAGCTTACGGTACATGTGGTTCTACTTCAGTCTCGGTTTGTGCCTCAAATAATGCAGAAGTGCACTAGGTCTTTCACCTCCATTAAATCTTTACACCAGTCTCGAAGAACAGTAACTGGTATTGATGTTCACTGAATTATTGCCCTTTAAGATTATATAACATTCCTGTTTTAAGTGTTTGACTTCAAACTTATTAAAGTTATTCTCTTGTAACTTTACAACAGAAGATCAAATGCAGCTACAAAATAAAATAAACTTGGATATAGTATATGGCTATGTTTTTCTAAATATCTTGTGCCATACCATTGCCTTATTTCAAAATAAGATACAGTCATACAATTTTCGCCGCGGAAAATTGACTCACAAAAAATCCCAGTGCTAGCCTTGTGACTATCCAACGCTCTATCATGTACATGAATTTTTAGCTCACCTGTCACAAAGTGACAGGGTGAGCTTTTGTGATCGCTTTTCGTCCGGCATCCGTCCGTAAACTTTTACTTTAAATGACATCTCCTCATAAACCTCTAAGCCAATTTCATCCAAACTTCACAGGAATGTTCCTTTGGTGGTCACCTTTAAAAATTGTTCAAAGAATTTAATTCAATGCAGAACTCTGGTTGCCATGGCAATCAAAAGAAAAAACTTTAAATATCTTCTTTTAAAAAACCATAAGAGCTAGAGCTTAGATATTTGGCATGAAACATCTTCTAGTGAGTGTCTACCAAGTTTGTTCAAATAAAAGCCCTGGGGTCAAAATTGGCCCCGCCCCGGGGGGTCATTGATTTTCCCTATATGCATATAGTAAAAACTTAAAAATCTTCTTTTAAAGAACCCAAAGAGCTAGAGCTAAGATATTTAGCATGAAACATTTTCTGATGGGTGTCTACCAAGTTTGTTCAAATCAAAGCCCTGGGGTCAAAATTGGCCCCGCCCCGGGGGGTCATTGATTTTCCCTATATGCATATAGTAAAAACTTTAAAAAATCTTCTTTTAAAGAACTCAAAGAGCTATGGCTAAGATATTGAGCATCAAACATGTTCTAATAGGTGTCTACCAAGTCTGTTCAAATAAAAGCCCTGGGGTCAAAATTGGCCCCGCCCCAGGGGGTCATTGATTTTCCCTATATGCATATAGCAAAAACTTAAAAAATCTTCTTTTAAAGAACCAAAAGAGTTAGAGCTAAGATATTTAGCATGAAACATGTTCTAATAAGTGTCTACCAAGTTTGTTCAGATAAAAGCCCCAGGGTCAAAATTGGCCCCGCCCCGGGGGGTCATCGATTTTCCCTATATGCATATAGTAAAAACTTAAAAAATCTTCTTTTAAAGAACTCAAAGAGCTAGAGCTAAGATATTTAGCATGAAACATGTTCTAATGGGTGTTTACCAAGTTTGTTCAAATAAAAGCCCTGGGGTCAAAACATGTTCTAATAGGTGTCTACCAAGTTTGTTCAAATAAAAGCCCTGGGGTCAAAATTGGCCCCGCCCCAGGGGGTCATTGATTTTCCCTATATGCATATAGTAAAAACTTAAAAAATCTTCTTTTAAAGAACTCAAAGAGCTATGGTTAAGATATTTAGCATCAAACATGTTCTAATAGGTGTCTACCAAGTTTGTTCAAATAAAAGCCCTGGGGTCAAAATTGGCACGCGCCGGGGGTCATTGATTTTCCTTATATGTGTATAGCAAAAACTTAAAAAATCTTTGAAAAAACCCAAAAAGCTAGAGTTAAGATATTAAGCATGAAACATCTTTAAGTGAGTGTCTACAAAGTTTGTTCAAATAAAAGCCCTGGGGTCAAAATTGGCCCCGCCCCGGGGGTCATTGATTTTCTTTATATGTGTATAGCAAAAACTTAAAAAAATCTTCTTTGAAAAAACCCAAATAGCTAGAGTTTAGATATTAAGCATGAAACATCTTCTAGTAAGTGTCTACAATGTTTGTTCAAATAAAAGCCCTGGGGTCAAAACTGGCCCGGGCCCCAGGGGTGTCATTGTTTTTAACTATATGTGTATAGTAAAAACTTTAAAAAAATCTTCTTTTAAAAAGCCCAATGAGCTAGAGCTTAGATGTTTAGCATGAAACATCTTATGGGTGTCTACCAAGTTTGTGCAAATAAAAGCCCTTGGGTTAAATTGGCCCTGCAACATTGGGGGTGGGGGTTAGGGGGGCCTATATACAGGTGAGCGACCTCAGGGCCATCATGGCCCTCTTGTTAGCTTGACTATTCGATATTATCCTAGTCACCTGAGCGTCCGCATAACCACTTGTATTAAAGTTTGTGTATCACCTCAAATATTTTCAAAGTCCATTCACATATGACTGTCTTGTTTACCATCATGCCCCCAACCTGTAGACTTATGCTTTGAATGTATTATGCTTAGTGGTCAGAAGATTTTTAGTTGTCAAATGGCTGTTCAGTGTTTGTGTGCGAGTGCGTGCTTCTAAACTTGTCCATGCCATAGCTTCTTCATACATGGAGGAATTCTCAAATTACATGAACTGAGTTTTTTAGGCACACATGTTCATCATGAGACTTTGTGTCATGCACATGAACCAGGTCAAGGTCACCTAAGATGGTGCACCGAAGTGTTGCGCAAATCTCGCCTATGTTTGATCTGAAGCTTATAGGCAGGTTGAATTTAAGATAAGCGGCCCGTGGGCATGTCTTGTATGTATTACACGAGATCACCATTTTTAGCTCACCTGTCACAAAGTGACAGGGTGAGCTTTTGTGATCGCTTTTCGTCCGGCGTCCGTCCGTAAACTTTTGCTTTAAATGACATCTCCTCATAGACCACTGAGCCAATTTCATCCAAACTTCACAGGAATGTTCCTTTGGTGGTCACCTTTAAAAATTGTTCAAAGAATTTAATTCCATGCAGAACTCTGGTTGCCATGGCAACCAAAAGAAAAATCTTTAAATATCTTCTTTTAAACAACCCTAAGAGCTAGAGCTTAGATATTTGGCATGAAACATCTTCTAGTGAGTGTCTACCAAGTTTGTTCAAATAAAAGCCCTAGGGTCAAAAATGGCCCCGCCCCAGGGGGTCATTGATTTTCCCTATATGCATATAGTAAAAACTTAAAAATCTTCTTTTAAAGAACCGTAAGAGCTAGAGCTTAGATATTAAGCATGAAACATCTTCTAGTGAATGTCTACCAAAGTTTGTTCAAATAAAAGCCCTGGGGTCAAAATTGGCCCCGCCCCAGGGGGTCATTGATTTTCCCTATATGCATATAGTAAAAAACTTAAAAAATCTTCTTTTAAAGAACCCAAAGAGCTAGAGCTAAGATATTAAGCAATGAAACATCTTCTAGTGAGTGTCTACCAAGTTTGTTCAAATAAAAGCCCTGGGGTCAAAAATTGACCCCGCCCCAGGGGGTCATAGATTTTCCCTATATGCATATAGTAAAAACTTAAAAAAATCTTCTTTTAAAGAACCCAAAGAGCTAGAGCAGCTAAGATATTTAGCATGAAACATCTTCTAATGAGTGTCTACCAAGTTTGTTCAAATAAAAGCCCTGGGGTCAAAATTGGCCCCGCCCCAGGGGGTCATTGATTTTCCCTATATGCATATAGTAAAAACTTAAAAATCTTCTTTTAAAGAACCGTAAGAGCTAGAGCTTAGATATTAAGCGTGAAACATCTTCTAGTGAATGTCTACCAAATATGTTCAAATAAAAGCCCTGGGGTCAAAACTGGCCCCGCCCCGGGGGGGGGGGGGTCATTGATTTTCCTTATATGTGTATAGCAAAAACTTAAAAATCTTCTTTGAAAAAACCCAAATAGCTAGAGTTTAGATATTAAGCATGAAACATCTTTAAGTAAATATCTACAAAGTTTGTTCAAATAAAAGCCCGGGGGTCAAAACTGGCCCTGCCCCAGGGGTGTCATTGTTTTTAACTATATGTGTATGGTAAAAACTTTAAAAATCTTCTTTTAAAAAACCCAATGAGCTAGAACTTAGATGTTTAGCATGAAACATCTTCTTATGGGTTTCAAATAAACAAATTAAAGCCCTTGGGTAAAAATTGGCCCGGGGTTGGGGGGGGGGGGGCTATATACAGGTGAGCGACTTTCAGGGCCATCATGGCCCTCTTGTTTTAACTAGAGATATTCTTGGGCAAAAACAGGCATTTTCACAAATTTTTCCGAAGCTGCTATTTTTAACCCGCTGAAAACATTTTATAAAATGGGGAAACATGTTTAAAATGACCTGATAAACAGGACTGATTTTGAGGATTTGGCTCCCTATAAGATGCTAGAGGCATTTTGTAGTACAAGTATTTTACCTATTTAAGGTATGCTGAATCCGATAAAGGTGGATACCAAATTGAAAAAACTTGATCTTGACCATTGAAATGGCCATTTAAAAATGACCACTAAAAATGGCCGCCAAATTTCTTTTATTATAAATGGATGATATATCAAAGAAAGGAAAAGCCTGATTTGTCACAAAGCAGGTTTCGGTTAAAACAAAGTTAGAACACCAAAACAGAATTAAAGCACAAAGCAATTCCAAAATGGCCGAAAAAATCCAAGATGGCAGACATTTTTTCTATATAGGCTAATAGGCTAATAATAATAGTAATGAAAATATAGAAGTAACATATTAAAGATAGTACTGAAAAATTTTAAGTCATTTAAAGCATATTTAGGGTTTTACGCAGCGAAGCACATACCTCTTTCCTGCCTATAATGCTATGATTTTTATCTGGCACTCCTTATGCAAGCATATAAAACAGTGGGTCTACTCGGATGCGTTAAGATGTTTTGAGGGGGTTAAACGTGTGCATGCAAAATATACAATAATTAAAGGCATTTTTCCTCTGAGTACCCTTGGGTTTTGAGTGTTCGTTTTCTGTTATCGGTCGTCGTCTTCGTTCTTTCTGTTAATCGTTGTTCGTGCATTTTTTCTTCTGTCAGATATTCTGTTATTGGTTCGTGACTCTTCCGTTCTTCTGTTATTGGTCCCGGTCGCAGTTCTCTTGTTGTCAGTTCTTCTGTTATTGGTGTTGATCTTCGTTCTTCTGTAATCGGTCCTGGTCTAAGTTCTTTTGTTGTTAGATGATCTGTTATCGGATTTCGTCTCTTTTTTTCTGCTATCGGTCGTCGTCTTCGTTCTTCTGTTTTCGGTTCTCGTCTTCGTTTTTCTTCGTTCTTATGTTATCCGTTCTTGTCTCTATTCTTCTGTAAGAAGTCTGATCTCCGTTTTTTTGTCTTCAGTCCTCGTCTATGGTATTCTGTTATCGGTCCTAGTTTCTATTTTTCTGTTATCAATCCTCGTCTCCGTTGTCTTGTTGTCAGTTCTTCTGTCCTGTTCTGTTATCGGTTCTCGTCTTCGTTCTTTTGTCATCGGTTCTTGTCTCTATTCTTCTGTGATCAATCCTCGTCTATGTTATTTTGTTATCAGCCTTCGTCTCCGTTGTCTTGTCAGTTCTTCTTTTATCGGTCCCTGTCCTGTTCTGTTATCGTTCTCGTCTTCGTTGTTTTGTCATCGGTTCTTGTCTCTATTCTTCTGTAATCAGTCCTGGTCTTTGTTTGCTTGTTGTCAGTTTTTGCTGTTATCGGCCCCTGTCCTGTTCTTCTGTAAGCGGTCCTCGTCTCTGATTGCTTGTTGTCAGTTCTTCTGTTATCGGTGGACCCTGTCCTGTTCTTCTGTTAGCGGTCCTCGTCTCTGTTTGCTTGTTGTCAGTTCTTCTGTTATCGGTTCCCTGTTTCTGTTCGCTTGTTGCCAGTTCTTCTGTTAATCGTCCCTGTCTCTGTTCTTATGTTATCGGTCCTCATCTTTGTGTCGTCTTTGTGTTCAAGTTCTTGTCTCCGTTTTCCTTATTGTATCGGTCGTTCGTCTTCGGATCTTGTACTATTGGTACTATGTTCCTGTTTCCGTTAAGGTCTTCTCTTGTTTCTTATCGTTTGCCGTCCATTCTGTGTCTATGTCCTGGTTATGTCTAATCTCGTAGTCATTTATTTCGTTACAGTGGAGTAGCGGGGGATCGAAAATCACGACCCCCTTGATTTGGTAGGCAGACAGTGTTACCAACTGCAGCGCAATAGCGCCCGCCTGCTGGAATAATAACCATTTTTGAAAATCGCTTTATACATTAAATACTATTTCTAAATGGCTAACAAAGGGTGTATTACAATTAATAGTTTAAGCACCTCTACTACTGTAGCCTACCACGTGACTTTTATATGGTCAAAAGAAAATCATTACTCAGATGTTACAGACAAATAATATTTTTATAGATATCCTTTGCTATTACTTTAAGATATCCCTAAGTATGCTTTAATTATTATTAATTTTTTTTTTTTTGGGGGGGGGGGGGGGTTGCCGTATAATATTTAAAACATCTTTTTTCCTCGGTTTTGTGGTTGGGTTTATGGCATTGAAATGACATTTTTTGACATTTCAAAATAATTTTTAAATATTCAGTTCTTTAAAACATAAATACATAATAAGTGCAAAATATAATGAAAAACACAATGAACAACTTATGAGAAAAATTATCATAGCTACAAATAATGTTGAAAATTACGGAAACACCTGAAGTGGTATTTCCAAACTTTCTCCCGGAATTGAATTTTTTTACAATCTTATTATTATTGGATTCGTTACCTTAACGCGCTAGTAAAATGGAATATTTAATTTTGTTTATTACAGTACTGTATTGTTATATACTGTTAATGAAAAAACAGTACTGTATATAACTGTTAATTTTGAGCCATTAGGCTTATAATCGCTATATTTGGTGGCCAATCTCATTAAAATCGGATCATATTAAATAATCATTTGATTTTGACAAGAATAATTAATTGCATCATATTGTATCATAGTTTTAATGACCTATTTTAGTATTTTTTTAAGCGGCCATTTTGAATTGACCTTTTGAAGGACGAGGTCAATTTTATTTTCTTGGTATCCACCCTCATCGTCTTTAACATACCCATATTAGGTTAAAACACTCAAGATATAACTTGTACTATAAAATGCATCTAGCATTCATATTTTCTTAAAATCAGTCCTGTCTATGATAGTATTTCTTGTCAATGGAAAGTAAGTATTTATAGCAATGAAAATATCCTTATTTCATTTTGTGTGTTTTTAGTTTTATTAATACTACGCGCTGGCTTTGCGATATGTCCCAGACTTCCGGCCTCTGTTACGTCGCTGGTCGTAAGAGCCTGCAAACGGAGGGACTTAGTTACGCCCTGATCACGTCGCTATCGTAGAGGCCACAACGGAGGTTCTTTCTCAATGCCGTCATTCGTCGTAAGATCTTCTAATAGGACGCCAGTTCTTCAGATCTTGAACGCAGTAGACAATATTGAGGAAAAGCACCTCTTCCGGGAGCCAGCAGCCCTTCGTACGGCCACTCCCTTCGCCGTTATTTAGGTCACACCAGCTAAGTGACCTAACTAGGTCACCCATCTGGTGTGACCTTTGCCCTCCGAGCGACGTGCACGCCGCGAAGGGAAGTCGAATCAAATTTATTACGTACCTATTGTTTTATATAGGCCATCAGTGCAGCACTGGCGCAGGTAATACGGTGTGTAGGATGATCCATAACTTTTGTCTCGTCTGCCCATTCTGCTGGTTTTGGACGTCGCAAATAACTTTGACTTTTTGAACTAGCAGGATAGAAGCATTTATAGGGTTTCACTTCTCTGCGGGGCTTTTTCGGGAGCTTGATAACCTGATAATGTTAAACCCGCTTTTCCGGGGAAGCGGGGCTACATTTTACTTAGACACAATTGGTCGCCAGTAATAGTGTTTCAATAGGCCCTTCATTAAACCATATAAATGATCAAAGAAGTAAGGTTAAGAAACTTGATTGTTTTAACAGCTGAGTCAATAAATAGAATGTATGGTACTGATAAAATACACAAACTTAAAGACAATATTTAAGTTTCTGAACTTTTTATTTCAAATAAAATAAATGGTAATATTCTTTGAAAATCAAGACGAAATTTATTTCATTAACCTTAAGAAAATAGCGCTGAATGTGAAAACATATTGTCATAAAAGTAGTAAAATGTAAATGAGGTAGTGCATTGTATTTAGACTACCATACAAATTACCATATCTCTTAGACCCTATAACTGAATAAATTCCTAAAATGAAACAGAAGCAAATGATAGTTCAGGTCAATGAGTAACATTTTTGAAAACTACATAACAAAATAAGCAAATCCTTTTGAGCCACTCAGCGGCATAATGGGAATTACCCATACCAATAAATGAAAATTATCTCCATAATTCGTAAGTGAAATTTAAATGTGTTTAAAATCTGATAATTGTGTACCATCAAACGTTTTTGTCATATCATTACTTTTGCTCAAATGTAGTTAAGTTCTAGCCTATTGCTTATTGCACAAGGAACTTCATGGTAATCAAACTTTTCCCCTCCGCTTCCAATCCTGCTTCAATAACTTCGCCACTTGTCACAGGTCCAGCCCCGGCTGGTGATCCTGTCAGGATGATGTCGCCTTGTTCCAGTGTGAAATACTTACTTAGATAACATATAACCTGTGGTACAGTAAATATCATATCAGATGTAGAACTGTCTTGTTTTGTGGACCCATTTACCTTCAGCCACAATTGGGCATTATTTGTATCGGGGATATTTTCTTTTGGTATAAATTTGCTGACCGGACAAGCTGTATCAAAACCTTTAGCCAAAGACCAAGGCTGACCATCGGCTTTGGCTGCACACTGGAAATCCCATGCCGTCATATCTAAACATAGGGCATATCCGGCTACATAATCGAGAGCACGGTCTTCAGACACGTCCTTGGCTTTAGTTGCTATGACAACGCCGAGCTCTACTTCGTGGAAAAACTCCTTGCATGCCGGTGGAATCTAAAATCACATAATTATTATATTGTTAATGTTACTTTTAACTTTTGATACACATAACTATAATAACGTTTCCGGAAACCAATATTTATTAACAAAAGAACAAGCGTGTTTGTGGTTAAATATATTGTTATTCAAATGAAAGGTTCAGAGTAAGCCTTGATAGTAATACCCTATATATCTGTCTTTCTTATTTTAAATGAACATGATTTTAATGATTTACAACGGGAGATTAAAAGTCCGTTATGTAAATATGTTATAAATTGAAAAAACTACTGGATTAATTCCAGGGAAGGTACGAGGTAATATTCAATTATTTCTATTTTATGAATGAATGGGCATGTATATACATATTATGTATCTTGATTGCTTTCCTCCTCTTCAATATAGTGACCATTGATGTTGAGCTTGAGAATAACACTATTATCGATTTATTGGAGATCGGAGTATTTATTGCTACACTTGCAACTGCTAACCTGATAGAGTCATATGCAATCGAACAACTTTGTTAACTACAGTAAAGAGATAGAGGACACATTTAACATAGTGGGTATAAATAGTAACTTTTCACATAATACAGAATAGCACATGGGTTTAATATATCTAATGTTGGGAATTAAAAAGATACTTAATACCGTTTTATGAAATCTATCAAAGGACGATATAATCCTTGTCATGAATAAAGCAGAAAGAATTAAATAGCTATGCTCTGTAAATAGGTCTCAATTTCTATACTGACTTCGCTTTATATATAAACAACATACTTATTGGTCTACCTTGTTTAAAATTTATCAAACATTCTAATAGGGAAGAATAATCTGTAGATAAGGAGTCATACTCTCGTTATATGTTATCACACAATGATCAAGGCTAAACTCTACATCAAAATTTCCAAAGCTGTCCCCCTACAAAATGTTGTTATGTCAATTTCTCACTTTAACCAATATAACCGCACCTAATCTACTGAGATCATACAAACAGCTTTTCTGGGTCGATCTGTGAGAACAAGGCCGATCTGGCCACCTTTAAAAAGTTTTCTTGGTTTGGTCACACGTCTTAGTTTCCCAGAGCACGTCTGCGCATCATTACTTAGCGTGGGAATGAGAGTGAGACGAGGCTCTTTTGACTGGTTTTCTAAGCTGAGTATAACCTTTACATCTATCACAATGGCAAACATGGTTGGTGTAGTCGACACTACTTATATTTTAAATCATACTAAGAAAGTTATCCACGTTTTATCCAAATTATATACACTTTAATCTGAGCATATTTACTTATTATTTATGCCCTCAGGGCATATAAGTAACATTCGCTGAAACGCTCGTTTCACGTCTGGGTCACTGTTACGAGGTTAACCTATGTATATGGCCAGAGTTGAGGATATATTTTTCTTTATGTTCTACTGTACCATTATTGGCATATTCTAAAAGGATTTAACATCAATTTACTACTCATCATTTCTCAAAAAGTACATTGATCTGTGAGCAATAGTGATAGATACTCGTGTCTTACAATATTATATCACGCATTAAATCGTAATATTGAGCTACGCAATAAGTTTTCATAAGACACTTATGAAGCAAATAGAATAACACTTGGTTATATAAACACATGTCCACTTAAAATCGGTCAGATCATGGGAAAATGAAATAATCATAAGTCTCGAGTAGATATAACTAATGGCTCTAATAATTTCCTACATTATTACTTATCACGATAGGGCAAGGAGGTTTACGACTATATATTCTGACGGAGAGTTATATGGGAAGCTGTGTCATCTTATAATTCGTCCCTGTATATTTCCTTTTTCACTTGAAAATAGGGCCGTCGTATCTTAGAGTAAACACTATCTGTTCTCAGTTGGATTTAATCTATTCGCTTAAGGTTTCATATATATAATTGATATCAGTGATATGTCATTTAAGTATAGTGAACTGGTGCAATGCCTTGATTTGTGACTGTCAACTTTTCAGTCGAGCTTTTCTATTCTCTCTGGTGGAGGGTTAAGCGGTCTCGTATAGGATCCCATGTCACTCTGGATTTAAAAAAATTAAAGAGTTTCAAACACTCGTTTTGCTCATTACAGTGAGTTTTATTTTTTTATTAGTTGAAGTAAGCGATATTAGTATTATATCATAACCAAGCGCAAGAAAGGAGGAGGTCCTCGCTCTACATTTGAGGTGGTAGATAATGATGGGTCATTTTTAGGGTCACTAAGGAGACAATAGTTTACCGTATTAAATGTAGAGGTCACTCAAAGGTGCTCAGAATACCGCACTCTCTCTTCACCACTTGTTGTCTCAGACACAGCCTCTTCATTACAGTGACAAACCTCCAATTTATTTTAATATTTGGTAGGGTGGGAATTAGATGGAAACTTGCAATGGTATTCATCTTTTTGATTGGGGTAAATGGGACACTCAGTTGAGTTCAAGGTACCACCAAAGGCCTTAGTCTAGAAAATAGGGGATTGTTACACTTTTGCACCATGACAAGCTTTTATTTATGACAGACTTCATTATTATAATTTTGATAGGTAAGATAATTGCTCATGTGTAAGTGTTCTTCCTTCTAGGATTGGAGTAAAGGGGTCAAAATGGAGGTCGATGAGGAGAGGAGAGGTATAACTAGTTTGCTAAGAAATAGACTTGGGTAACACTTTTGCACGACGAGACAGTACGGTTATTTATTGAACTAGTAGTGTATTTTCATAATTTGGTGAACAAGATAAACCTCTTATATGCATGGTAATTCAGTTCTTTATGGAGATAGAGATTAAGGAGGATCAAGCATTTGTCAATCGTCTAAGTTGTCTACATAATAAGATTTCTACACTGTTCTTCGCCATACAGCTTATATATTAATGACAGATGTTTTTCATATTTGGGAGGAAGATAACTATCATGGAAGTTGAAATATTTTTCAACTTCCAAGTCAGAGCAACTAACCTTGGCAACGTTATAGTATTTATTCACAATAAAAAGATGCTCTAAGTCACATCATTATTTTTTGGTTCTATATTTTTTTTGTCCACTTTTAACAGGAGTGAATGAGTGGTAAACATGATTATTTGGGAACACTATTGCTACTCGACAAGAAATCTCGAGCGCGGGCATTCTTGTTAGTTTAACAAACCGCACGTTCTTGTTTATAGATTTGATATTATGTATCTCTGCTAAAGTTAAAAACTAACTTCGAGTATTACTTTAAGTTTTATTCAGATATTGAGATCGGATAGGGTGGATCGAACACAACAGCGTAAAATTAGATAAGTACCTATACACTAACAGGCTTCTCCCATAGAATATTACTTTAAATATAATATCTGTCTTAAATGTATATAGAAAGTAATATTCAAACTGAATTGGTATTCTTCTTCAACATATTGAAGGATACCTCCCGAGTATGGATGTAAACACATGTATATGCCTAATACCCAGGATTATAAAACATTAGTTACCTCACTTGTATATAAGAGTTGCTATCCACTAACTGTTACGTCTCGAGACCTACGTAATCATGGCAACAAGGAGATTTCTATTTGTATGGCTTACTTATTGTAATTTAGATATAAGTTGGAATATATAAGAAGGCATGTGATAGACTGACTTGTGTCATTGCAATATATAAGAAGGTTGCTGTTTTCCGCGTTGAAAAAGAGGTTTTGTGATATAATCATACACTCCGCGGCCATCGCTGATGCTAGTATTGTTATGCAGTATGATTGGCAGAAGGAATATTTTTAAAATTATACTGAGAATCTATACTAACGTGAGCAAGCATTTGTTTGTTGTATTATGAATATTAAGATTATTATCGCCGCTTATTTATCTCCATTGATGGAGGAGCCGGGAAGTAATACTATCAGGTTAATTTTGAACTTGGTATAAAATTGGTTTTGGAGGTGTGTTAAAAAGATCGTGTATATGAAGTTCGACATTGAGTGACTTTAAGGGTTTACACGGAGCATACACTTACATAGTGAGCGGCTAATAATAAGCCCCAAACAGCGGCACTAATATACCGTTTGTATGTGTCTGTTCAGCGATTTAACCTTCTATGTGTTTTATTAGATCTTGGTGCGTGTGTTGGACTTTGGGATAATCGTCTTCATTACGCGCGTAATATATGGATGACTATTTTGTTTGAGTACTATAGCGTGTGAGTTTGTGTGTTGTCAGACCTTTATAACTTTACTCTATTTCCGGATGTACTCTGTTCTATGGAATTAATGGATAAATTTATGGTCACTTGCTTACTACGTGCATGCTTTCTGGTCATATTTAGTACCTCTATAGCACTTAAAATAGATTATGATCAACATATGGCAAGACATTGATGTTGTTTTAATTGTTACTTTGAATTTACTCTCAGTGATAGTGCGAGATTATTATATCAATCACGACTTTAGGTTCTGAGACATACATAGTATAAATTTAAATTGATATCTTCTAGATTATATATTAGTCTCTGCATAAATGTGTGTGAGTGAACTGAAAGCAAATATGTATGGCACAATTTATAAAGGAGATATAATTTGTATTGTCATTCAGTTTCATACTCTTTGGTATTATCTGCTAAAAGGTTTTGAGACAGATATCGATTGTCCTTATGTTCACTGGATATGACTAGGAGTGAGTTACAGAGGTAATATAAAAAGAGATACCATAAATGATTTGATAGTAACAAGCTCAAGAAGGCATTTAACTAGGCATGTTGTTAATGACATTTCTCTAGTTCTATCCTAGAAGTCAGCTTGCTTAGCTTGTTGTTACGATATCTCACATAAGACTTATATTTACTCTCGGTCTCTCATTCACCTCTATGTATTGAACAATATTCATAATATACAGCACATATACTCATTTACTATTGAGTTGCGCATTGAAGAGTTCTTAACGCACATAGGACTTACACTACCCCGCTAAAGAGCATTGACGATAAACGAGTTGTGAGAGATGTGCGTTTAACTATTGTTCACTGAGGATGTGGTTATTTTTGATACTTTCGTCTAAGGTATATAGACCAATGCAACTGATTCTTAAATATATACTTGGCCGCCGAGTGTTATTACCTTTCTTGAGAGTTAGAAGATTAACTTAGTATATATCGCGCTCGTGAGGGTGGGACCATACTCACAAATATGTCTGTCTTGATTACTTGAGACTCATTCATCCGAGGACAAGTTTCCTCTCTTGTTTTGCTCGATAGTATAGGGGCGTCATTATGCTGTAGTCAAATGGTATGTACTTTGCACACCATATATATTACTTAATCTTCAAAGTAAGCAGTCGGCTGGACCTATTATCCGCTATTTTTCATTCCACCGGATCATAGATTTTTTTAATAGTTCTGCCATTTCAATGAAAAAAAATTGTAGATATCAGATGGTTCTATTTCTTAAAAAAGAATGGGATCAATGTTTTGGGAAATTGCGCAAGGAATACATGTTGTTTGTTACTTATGGAATGTTTATTGCGTGAATAGTGTTGTTAATATGAGAGCCAATTGCAACAGTCCAAAGATCAGGGTCAATGTCTATCAAGAAAGACAATTTTGTAAAAGTTCATTAGTTGGGAACACCCAGGTCAAGCAATTTTTCAATGCACGACCCGATATTTAAAAAATCTTAGTATTTTCCAAAAGTAATATAGGTCTTAGGAATCGCCACCCACATGCTGGCATTTCGAAAAACATTTGTTTCATGAAATAGAACTACTTTTCCTGAATAATATAGTTAATGATTCCTCTTGTGAGAGAAATATTCCATATGGTGTTTATCCCATAGAAGCCCCGACATACTCAATGCCGGAGCTTCGGGCATGGAGGATAGTATTTTCATTTTGCTTGATATAGGTAACCCGACAAGAACATGGTGGTTGAGGTCCCTGTGTTAGGACTTTTGTCATCTATTTTGTTATCAATGTGGTTGATTAAATTATTCTGTTTTGATTGACATAGAGCAAGGCGGTGTACGGGTATAAATAATTTTAAATCTAGTTAGTTTTATATGCCGCCCGGCCTGGAACGACCCATAGCTTTGCGTAATGTGTTAATTTAAAACGGTTCGTGTCATGCACAAGCAGGTTTATGTCTACAGTTTAAACTTTTTCTATATCATAAATCATTGAATAATTAAACGTTACAAGATTATTGTGTCCGATGCTAAACACTTTC